CTGGACTGAGTGTACCGATGCGTCAATTTATACTTCCATATCATCAAGCATTCGGTCTTATCATCTTATGCTTTCTTGCAATTACTGCTGTAATGGGTATCTCTGAGCAAGCTGCATGGCATCATAAGTAAATAAAGTTAAAATTATCATTGCATGATATATTCACTTTCATTCTAATTTTATAATTTTATTTCATTTTCATAGATTAGTAATATTTAGGCATATGTAAATTTATTATCTATTTATGTCTAATTATTGAGAAGAAAAAATGTCGTGTACAGCTGAATAAACTTTCAGTGCATCATTTTACTCAAACGATAAAATTCATTCCTTCTAAAATCAAAAATTAGAATATTTATTGCAGATGTTGGACAGTTAATCACGTATTGTGTAGTCAACAATTTCTCAGTACGTTACTTGGTATTTTCATTCTTATATTTGTTTTGTGTATTTTGCTCATCATCTTGAATCCGCGATGGCGTCGACAACCACTGCCGGAAGAAGAAACATTACATCGTTTGACAAATATTGATTAAATCATAAATTTCTACTCATATTTACAAAAATTTTACAAATGATTTTTGCATGTTATATTTATTCATTAAGAGTTATTTAATGCATCTTGAAATTGCTAAAATATTCTTTTGCATAAATCAATTCATATCTGTATATTTTACTTTCATTTCTCACTTTATCTATTTCTTTCTTCCTTTCATGAATTATTTTAATATTATTGGATAGCTTATCACTGTATTTTATACTTCAAATCTCTCAACAAATCTCTAAAGGAAAAAGATTGCATATAGAAAAGTATGAAATGGAATTGTTTTCAAATTCTATTTCCTTGATTTTGAATGTTAAACTTTTCATCCAAGTTTCAACCTTAGATTTTAATAAAATTGTTTACATTTTAAGATTTTAATAAAACTTGCTGGGAGAAAAACATGCTGGATTAATTAACGTTCATTTTAATTTTTTTGATGGAAATATAGCTATTAACTTATCTTAAATAGATTATTTCAACAGTCTTCATCAAAATTTCAAAAATTTTTTGTTTGCTTTCATTTTTTTTATTCATATCCTTCATTTCATTTAAATATGAGATTATTATACTATTATTATATGCATACAGCAAGATATGATTAATTTTCATTTATTAAGCCTAAAATGAATTTACTCATCCAAATGTAAATTATCATATAGCTTCCAAATGTGATTTAATTTAAATTATATATCTGTCTTGTTTATAATCTATTGTAATCTCTATTGTTATGATGATCTCAGTTGTTACATTATTATTACTATAATGTACTTCATTTTTCTATCTTTATCATTCCAATTTTTTTTCTCTACTTTTCCATCAATAATTTTATTTAAATGTAAATTTCATATGAATATAGCAAAATTTTTTTAGTTCCAACTCGTTACAATTTTTTTAAATTTTCAAGGAATGGGATTTCTTGAAATGATCACTATTTATGCGCTTTAAACCAATCTGTCCTGTGATTTTTGCCCTTTTTTGAATTTCCTATTCTTTTTCTTCATTTTCCTTTCACGCAATTTTCTTGTGTTTTTTTTTTTTATTTTTAAATAGCTACTATTTTCTACGATTTATCTATGATCTGTTCTTTTTCTTTGCTGTTTATTTTTCTTCCTTCTTTGCTTTTCGTTGAATATCGCTGAATTATCAATGAGATGATTTACAGGAATTGCACTTTTAAAAATTCATTGTACAATTTACTAAAATTTCAGCAAAATATGCTTCAATACTTTTAATTAAACTCCTTCAAGTAAAATGATATTCTAAGCTGTTATTGATAACTCCTAAATACATACAACTTTGAATTACATTTGGAAGAAAGAAGAAATAATCATTTAGTTAAATTTGAGCCAAATTCTTCTGTTATATCATAAGTAGAATTAATCATTTAATTTCAGATGAAAAAAAAAAAAATGGCAACAATCATTTTATACAGTGTAAAATCAGTAGAATTACTACTCCATTCAGTTAAAACAAAACATCGTAAAACAAATTTTCATTTTCAGTTTCAGTTGTTCCGATTTCAATGATTGCCGTTATGTCAATGATAAGCTATGTATCTACAATGATGATAATAATGATGATAATTGTCATCATCACCTATGACGTTATTCCAATTCCATTACCATCGTTCATCCAAATTCTATTAACCAGAAACTTCCGTATCCGTTATCATTACTAAAATTTACTAAAAACATTATTGAAAATGAAGCAGAAATTACATTCAACAAATGTACAATATTCTCTTCCTGTGAAGTTAATGCGTGACAAAACGATGATCAGATGAAATACTAATTATCATGAATGAAACATTATGTAACAAAAAGATAAATTCATGACTCATCTCCTGGTTTCACAAACCTATACCAGTGGCGGTAGTTGAGGCAAAGAGATTGTTTCAGAAAATACTTTCTTATACCTTTTTGGAGGTACATATATTGTGCCAGCCAGTAGAGATTTGTCATAAAACAAGATTATATGGAAGAGATAATCTTCCATCTTGAAAGTGAGGCGAAGCTGGTCAAACGTTCAAAGGTCATCGGTGATAATGGTAGCTAGTTCATGATTCTGAAGAGTAGATTGTATGTCAAAACTAGCAGGCTTATATGATAGTACTGAGATCCTCCGATTTTAGTTCTGTTTTTCTAGTAGACTTACGGCTTCGAAAGGTTAACAAGTTTTGCCTAGATTTGAAATTAGAGTTATCTTAGGAGATTGTCCCAAAGCTAACGAGTTAATTTTATCCATGAATATGCTTGACCGAGCCTTTAGCTAACCTAAAAGGCTTATGCCATCACCAGAATAGACCGTAGCTTCACAAAGACAACAAGCTATTCACCAAGACAAGGAGATGTCTGCAAGATTAATATTCATTATCAAAATGAAAAGTATTATTAGCCATTCTTGAAGATGATACGATCGGATGGACTTGATTTTTCTCTTTTGTTATTATTATTATCACAAATGGATTCAAATCAGATTATTTCATAGCGGAAAAAAAATAATACTAACAGACATTTCATAGAATTTCGAGTAAATAAAAATATATTTCTTTCAGTTTCAAAGGAAAGATAATAATAATTTCATTTGCGGTGGAATAAAGGAAATCTGTAAAATTTATATTATATCTGATGGAATCTTCAATTCAGAAATTTGCCAATATCAAAGATCATACTAAAGATAAAACTAAAAACACATCATTCGAAATTCATCTCTTTTTTTAGTAAAAATGCCTAGTTCCCTAAATATGCAACCAATTTTTTTTTCTTTAAAATTTTCGTTGCCATTAATTGTTTGCATTCTATATATATAGGATAAGGAAATAAACAAAAAATCTAGAGGACTGTTATGAATTTAACATTTGTAGAAAAAAGGACATTAATGATTATTTAAATTTGCTTATTTCTAAATATTTGATTTTTTTATTTTCTTCTTAATTAACAACATATCTCAAATCTCAAATGATTTCTTCACTGGCAATTTTTGATTTGTTAAATTCATTTCTATTCTTCACACTAGAATTTTTGAATTTCTCAGATACGAGTGATATTGCTAGCATTGAATAATAATGTAATAAAAACAGTATAGCAGTAATGACAATATGATATCAGTCACGAAAACTACAGATTACTATGTAGATTATAGCAGTAAAATAATTAGCGGTCATCAGTTATGATTATTAGTTATCACTATTAAATTGCTTAAATTACAACTGATTATTACCAGTGATTATCATTTGAAACTTTTGAAAACATTGCCGGATATTGCTTACACCAACTTGGTCACTACTTCAAAGTATCACTATAATTCATTTATTATCATTTACTTCAAAATAATTACATTTTAAAATCAGATACAGCGAGTATTTTAGTTTGAACTGCAAGATGAAAATGATGATGATAATATTACTTTATTTGTTAATTGACAATAATATTATTATTAATATCACTTGTCATTATTATTGCTTTCATCATCATTACTATAGATTATATTCAATGGGCAAATTCTTGCGGCGAACCATGCCATCGCCCTGGAACCATTCGCGGCGGAACTGTTTTGCAGCGCCATCCGGTGTGTTTGTCCATTCGATGGTAATACGGTCGTTGTTGATGTCTTCTCTGGCTGCGTCAAATGTGTCACACGAGACCGCCATGAGAACATTCTCCTTTGGGTCCAGGACGCCACATGGTGGGTCAACACCTAGGCGGCGCATATTGGTCGTTTTAATAGCCCAACCAATGCGACGACCACCGGCATTAGTAATCTGAAAAAAAGAAGGAATAGCATAGAGTTGGAAGGAAAATTGAGTATGTATGTGTATCTATGGTGCAGGAAATATGGAGCATTTTAGTTGCAATTAAAAATATCATAAAAATAATTCATAGATGTAAGTGTCACCTTAATATGATAAGTATGCTTATCGTCATAAGGTGCATTAAATACAATTTTAGAGCTGGGTTGGGTGTTGATATCACCAGGTGGAACCGATTGCGCCATATTCTTCTTCTATCTACTTACTGCAAATTTTTTCTCAGTGAACAATGCGAGGTGGTTAATATTTTTCATTTATATATACATCAAAATATTAACATAGCGAATAGGAACTGCATAATTTGTAATGATTTTATCTAAAATATTAACTTAAAATTGTAATATTTTGAAGAGAAATGCAGATTTTAAATTAAAAAAATGTTTTTCTTGATTATTTTCCTTAATCATTTTCCTTCATTGTTATATTTTGTTTTACTATAGCAATCAGTTTGCAAGTAAATTTCTAGAATAGTGGATTTTTATCCAAAATTTGCATATAAAAATATAAAATTTAGTTTTTTTTTTTTTTTTGCATATTTATGCAAATAATAATGGTAATAATTGTAACTATAAAAGGATATAAAACAAGCATATTTTATGCTTTATGATTTTGCTGCTGGGATAAAGTAGTGCACCTTCCCTCTTCGTAATGGCGCAGTCGATTCCACCGGGTGATATCCATACCCAACCGGGGTCAAAGATTGTCTTCAATGCCCCGTACGATGACAAACATACATATCACATTAAGGTATACCTATACTGGTGGAATAGAATCATGTTTTAATAAAGGATGTGGTACCACTAAAACCAAAACTATCTCAGATAGAAGAAATTGATTGCTATCATTTTTGATGATAATAAAATTTTGAGATTACTAATGCCGGTGGTCGTCGCATTGGTTGGGCTATTAAAACGACCAATATGCGCCGCCTAGGTGTTGACCCACCATGTGGCGTCCTGGACCCAAAGGAGAATGTTCTCATGGCAGTCTCGTGTGACACATTCGATGCATCGAAGGAAGACATCAACAACGACCGTATTACCATCGAATGGACAAACACACCGGATGGCGCTGCGAAACAGTTCCGCCGCGAATGGTTCCAGGGCGATGGTATGGTTCGTCGCAAGAACCTTCCAATCGAATATAACTTATAAAAATGCATAATGTTGCGTCACAATTGTAATCATTTGAATTCAATCCGCATTGCATAATATCAGTGGAATAAATGAATTGAATTGTGATAGAATGATAAAATTATCAGCATGACTAATTACATATTATTGATTACTTATCGTTCAAAAATAATCAAATAATTCAAATGAATTCTGTTCTTAAATGCATTCTTATAACCTTTATGATAGCTGGCCAAAATGATCATATTTTCTATTCTTATTCCAATTTATTTTCTAATTTTTATTTCTATTCTATATTTCTCATATTCTATGGTTTTTATTTCTATTCTATTTTTTTTCTATTTTCTATCCTTTTCTAGTAGTCTAGTACTTTTCTAGTAGTAAGATTTTTCATCTTTGTTCTAATTTAAAGTTTTTATTTTATGATAGATATCATTTGTTGAGCATAGCATAAAATTATGAGAAGAGATGGTAATAATTAGTCTAATATGATGAAATTTTATTAGAAAAAAAAGTGAAAGTAATGATGAGTCAATAGAAAATGTAATTTATGAAAGCTGAAATTATTTTGTATTAAAGAATAACTGATAATAAATAATAATTATTAACAAGAACTTCAAGTTAAACTTTATTAACGTACCAATTAGTTAAATTGCTAACATTGCCAAAAATATACCTATAAAAATTATGGAAAAAAATTGAAATAGTTTAATTCTCTCTCTGTTTACTATTATTTAATTGGTTTTATTTAAATAAGATCGTATTAAGTTTTTAGAAAGGCGTAATTCTTTGATTACGTGAATTTTTGTTTGCATTTGTATGTTCTATTTACAGAAATATCTCATTTTAAAAACTACCATTGTATTGTTCAATTTGACGTTTCTTTCTATATGAACTTATCCTCCTAAATGGAAAAAGAAAGAGGAAGAGAGAAAGAAACTATCATAAATAAATTCAAAAAATGAATTTTTTCTTGAGAAGAAATAATAAATTATAATATCTTAATTTTTGGTTAATTTCTATTGCAGAAAATCTACTCCACTAATTTTACGCTTATTTTATTTCATTTCACTACTATATCCCATTTTATCTAAATTAGTTGATAACATTATTTAAGTTATTCAGCTATTTGCTTCTATTCCAAACTCTTATCATCTTATCATTTATCATTTCTGTGAAGTAGCATCAAGATTAGTTAAATTGCTAACATTAATGAAAATATACTTCCAAAAAATATGGAAACACTTATTCATTCATTAAATACAAATATATATTTGATTAATTCTTTCAAATCTACACGAACTATATTAAAAATTAAGATAGTAACTTCATATCAAATTTGGATATTCATGCAAATAGCAAAATGATAATTGCTGGAGTTATAACTTGTATAAATTTTTCTTTACCTTCACATTATATTTTGTTAAATTACAAATGAACAAATTTAAATAGACTGCATTTATTCAGCTTAAAATTTTCATTAACATTTTTTTCGAAATTAATTTCTGCATACAAATATATTATGCTGATTTTTTATAAATAAAAAGTTACATAAAAGCTGCTGTTAGCTATAAAAAATCATATTAGTTGCTTGTTTGGTTACAGTCAAGCGGCAACGCTACTGGATTTTCCTAATGGCGCAGTCGGTTCCACCGGGTGATATCCATACCCAACCGGGGTCAAAGATTGTCTTCAATGCCCCGTACGATGACAAACATACATATCACATTAAGGTATACCTATACTGGTGGAATAGAATCATGTTTTAATAAAGGATGTGGTACCACTAAAACCAAAACTATCTCAGATAGAAGAAATTGATTGCTATCATTTTTGATGATAATAAAATTTTGAGATTACTAATGCCGGTGGTCGTCGCATTGGTTGGGCTATTAAAACGACCAATATGCGCCGCCTAGGTGTTGACCCACCATGTGGCGTCCTGGACCCAAAGGAGAATGTTCTCATGGCAGTCTCGTGTGACACATTCGATGCATCGAAGGAAGACATCAACAACGACCGTATTACCATCGAATGGACAAACACACCGGATGGCGCTGCAAAACAGTTCCGCCGCGAATGGTTCCAGGGCGATGGTATGGTTCGTCGCAAGAACCTTCCAATCGAATACAATCTTTAAAACGATTGGAGACAAACGACAGGAATATAATTATGATCATCTGATCATTTTCTGCTAAATAATATATTCCTCTCATTTCATTTCAAATAAAATATTAATCATCTGTGCTCAGCAAAGTATAAAATCGATTTGATTTTGATTATTGATGTTTGAGTCAAAATAATTTATTCCGTCAACCCAATAAGATACTACAATTCTTATTCATCTCGCAATCATTCTTTATCATTTAGGTGACAATCTTCATTTTTTATCCTCTTCAATTCACATTTTAACAAAAATAGTTTCAATAATTCATTGGTTTTCGAATAAAATAAGCACATATTTCTTTTATAGCTTTTAAAGGTTAAATAATTTTGTGTATGGTTCAAATTTACATGTATAAAATTAAATTCGAATTTTATGTTCTATTCATAATTTCGTTTTTCAATCAAGATATGAGGGAAGATTTTTATACAGCGTGAATGTAAATGTCGAACTGATGAAATTGGAACATAATCAGCAGTATTGAACTGATACGATCAAATACTAAATGTAGAAATTCCAAAGAAGTTAAAAGATTGATTAGTGAATAAGATAAAAGTACTTTAGTTAGGTGAAATAGAATAGGGAATGAAATATCAAAACATAGGATTTTGAAAATAAAATTTATTTGATCGAAATGATATGACATACAACAATTTTATGGAGTATTATGTAAGATATAAAAGTATTATGTGAAAGTTTGAAAAAAATTTTTTTCAAGTTACAAATTATTTTTCAATTCCTTTTACTAGAAATAATTGCAAAATTTGGCACTTTATTACGTTCAGTTGTTATCAATCAGAAAAAAAAATTGCGTTACAGAATTATGAATTAGTAAGAAATCATGATTGTTCTTTTGTTAACATTTCCAACATCTTTTTCTCCTGATTCGCTCAAATCATTTAGTTATTAAATCATTTCGATGGCTGAAAATTGTTTGTAAATAAGAATTTCATAGCTTAGAGAAGGAGAAGAAATTTAAAAAATTAATAAAAAAAAATTTCAACAATTTAAATACCATAATCTGACACCGGTACGACACGGCCGTACATAACCAACTATCATAGTACCATTGGTACCATAAAGTGGCATCACACAATTTGAGCGTAAATTGCATGAAGTACGACGTTTTTTTGATCGCCTATGTTTATGACTATGGCTTCGTGATGAACGTGAACGTGAACGTGAACTACTGCTGCTACTGCTGTTGGATGAATGTGATGAGCGTAAATCAGTAATTGGTGAAGGTGAACGACGACGACGACGACGTCTGAAATAATATATGAGTCTATGTCATATATTATCAAAAATTGTTCACTTAAAATATTCTGTAATTACTTGAATCAGAAACGGAGGGAAATCGAAGATTGCTAATAGTAGGAAATGATGCGCTAATTTACATTTAGATTCTTTTGAAATTTTAAATATTGAGTTATACTAATATCAATATTAAAAAATTGAAAAAAGAAATGGCGAGGATTTCACTCGAAACTTTAATGTTTATCTGGTGTTGACGGAAATCATACCGCACTGAATCCACTATTTTAGGTTGAATGTTACGTCTCACAGGCGGAATACGACGAACTGTTCGCGCCTTTGGCGTACGTACCGGTGTAGGCATTTTAATTTTCTTGCACCAGAAAGAAAAGGATAAAATTAGTCACTGAATGGTACTAAAATGAAAATAATTTTTGATTTTAGTAACATTAAATACTTTTTTTTATGCAAAATTTATTGCTTGCAGCAATCATATTTTAATTGAAAAATATTCTTAGTATATTTAAATTTTCAACTGCACGAAAATTTTTATTACCTAATTCAGGTTTAACTATAAAAGTGAGATATAAAATTCTAAAATTTTTTCTGGGTTTAATTTCAATATTTATCATACATTAAGCGTAATTTAATTTGGCACTCATTTAAATTTCAATTGCTTAAATTTTATCTTTTTCCACTTACAATTATTTGATAGCATTTAATCAAATCTTTTTATATAAATTTTTAAAATGAAAAATCTTCACATTCAAATTTTACTAATTTCATTATAAAAATCTTCTATTAGATTTTACATTTATCAATTTAATTGAATCAAAACAAGTTTCTTGCGTTTCAATTCCTTCTATTCATCTTATTTCGTCGTAATTGCAAATTAATAGTGACAACAATAACAACAAAAAATAAACAAGCAAAAAACGAGTCAGAATGAGATGAAATTTTTATCTTTAAATTATAAATTATAGTTTAAATCCATTACAATAAATTTTAAAAAACAAATGGTGATAACAATTCAATGACAATTATTTCAAACTGCACTTTTTCAAAGTTATGCAAATGTAAAACCAGAAGAACGATAAGTATTATATATTTTTTCTATTGCCGTTGCGTATGCAGCAGTACGTATATCCAAGCCAAGATTGTATTTTTCTATTGTTTTTATAATATCATAGGCTGGAAAAAAAGAATGGATAGATTTTAATATAAGTTAATTAAGATAAATTTATTTTAATTTGTTAACGATTAACAAAATTGCAGACAAATACCAATCAGTAACAGCTAATAAAAATTTTACTAGACAATAAAGAAACTTATAATTATTAAGTTACTTTAAGAAATTGAAAAGGAGAGAGAAAAAAGAAGAATTATATAAACAATTAGCAATTGAAAATGATTGGTAGAAATTTATTCGGAAATTAGAGAAAATTAAAATTACAGAATTAATTTTAAGATCCAAAAAAAAGAAGAAAAATGAGAAATTATGCAAAAAAGAAAATTTCCATCCCAATCAGTAATTAATAGGAATTGGTAAAAATTCATCAGAAAATTAAAAAGAAAAAATAATAACAAAAAATATTTTAGGATGGAGAGGGAAAAAAGGGTTATATAAATAATTAGCAATCAATAATTACTGGCAAGGAATTTCATCAGGAATTAAAGAAGGCTAAAATTAGAAAGGAGAAAAAAAAGAATAAAGAATTATAAAAAATAATTTATGTAAAACAAAGCATAACAAATACCGGAATAACTTCGCCTCTTCCTTTAGTTTATTTTAATATATTAAATTATGGAATCTTCAAATTATTAATAAAAAATAGACCTCAATTTTTATGCCTACCTGATTTCTGCATGCTAAATTCTAAACCGGAATAAACAATTTCTTCTTCAGATTTATGACTGATTCGGCTTTTCAGTCCTGCCGATGGTTCAATTTTGATATTTTTTCCAAGTTCACGATTTAATGATTCTTCAACACTTGCTACAGAAAAAAGATTAAATAATACGTAAATTAACATAACAAACAGAGACAAAAACAATTTTGCAATGAAATAAAAAATAAAAAAATGAAAGAAGCTAAAAGCTAAAAAATAAAAAAACAAAAAGTGAATAAATAAATGAAGAATAATTTTACCAAGCAAATCATAACCGGAATCAATTTCATGCTTTGATGTAAGTCGACCAAAACTGACATGATTCAAATTTTTCAGCCATTCAAAAAATGATACCGTAACACCACCACTATTGATGAATAAATCCGGAATGACAATGCAATCATTACGAGCTAATAAAATTTTCTCAGCTGCTGGTGTTACTGGACCATTTGCTGCTTCTACGATAACCTATATCAACTATATTAGGTTAAAAAGTAAAGTCATGTTTACAAGAAAGGTAAATAATAACTGCAAATGAAAAAAAAAAAAGAAAACAAAAGCAAAATTTAAACGATCAAAACTTTAATGAATGCTTATAGCAGAGCAAGAATTTAAAAAATTATATCAAATTTATTCAAATTTAAAGCTTATTTCGAAATGATTATTATACTTTTAGTTTTTTTCTTCATTTTTGGTTAATTATATCTTTTGAATTCTAACCCTACTATAAATAAAAATTAAATTATATATCTTTTCTAATTTTTATTACTGTTTCATGTAAATAACAAATATGGGAAATGATACTACTTATCTCTTTTATCAGTACTCTTCAATGATATCTTTGTTTAACATCCAGAAAATACTCATAATTTTTCCATTACTTCCGTTATTAGTAAAGTTTATAGTATATTTTGATAAATTATTCCTAGATATTTCTCTTATCTTAAACTTTTAACTGTTAATTTCTTCTTATCACATTGTGCTTATATTTTTTGTTATCACCACGAGACAATTTACAGTCTCATTTTTTCCACTCTTCATGCTTTCTTTTTTACTATCATATTGGATATCAATGAATTATCATTAATAGACAAAATTAAATCTAATCATCATCCCTTCTAATTTATCACTTTCAAACAATCAAGTTTATACCTTGGCTTTAATTTTGTTAGCATTATTTTTGTTGATAACTTTTTCACATGCTGCCAAAATTAGCACATCACATTCTTCATAAATTAATTCACTGTATGGTTCATATGCTTCAGCATCTGGAAAATCCTGAAAATTTTGAAATATTCAATAATAATTATCATTTTATTTGCAAATTTATAAATCATCTACTTCTTTCATAAGAAAAATGAAGAATCGATTTTTCAAAAAATTAAAAAATTTTTTCTCCTTTTTCTAATAAAAAAGCAAAATTAAATTACCGCTACTGTTTTATGTTCAGCTGCATATTTGATCAATGCATCAATATCAAATCCATTTGGATTATACACCGAGCAATTATACTCTTGAATGCCAATGATTATTCCGCCACCGGCTGATACAAAATGTGATGTGTAGGTACCAACATTACCAAAACCCTTCAATTAATTAAAAATTTGAAACAGCTTTCTAATTATTCTAATTATTATTATTGTTTATCATTATTTATTATCATTAATTATTTTAAATATTCATTTTTTTAATACCTGAACAATAATTTTCTTTCCTTTTAATCCAGGCTTTAAACCAATTTTATTCATATAATCGGAAATATTTAGGAATGTTTCCAAACCGTTCCATACACCACGTCCGGTTGCTGCTGTACGACCATGAATTCCTGTAATA